GAAGAGCGGCTTCCCGCAGCACTTCCAGGCATCGCACGCTGGAACTGACCAGGAACAGAGGAGTCTCTTAATCCCACGTATTCTTTCACGGGGGACCGAAAAGCAGGGGCTGCCTGCGCTCCGTCTTTCTCCCCGTCCGATGAAACGCCCTGGAATCGGGGTACGGCGTTTTGGGGGTGCGCGGAAGGCCCTCCGCGCTCCGTCGGCTGCGGAAGCTGGGGAGCCAAGGGGGGCGGCTGCTGAAACCCCTCTTGGAGGGCGTTCGCCAGCAGGTTGGTGGCCTCGGGAGCCACCAGCGGGGACGGAGCCAGCGCCTGGGCGTGGGACAGGACCTGCTGGGACTTGGCGATTGCCTGGAAGAGGTGCCGCTGCACCAGCAGCGGCTCCAGGCACGCAGCGGGCTCCTGGGGTTTCGGGAAGAGCTGCCAGGTCTCGCTCTGCGGCGCACCGCGCTTCGGAAGCTCCGGAAAAGTCAACTCCCCAGCGTTCTCCCATGGGTGGGAGCTGTGGGTTTTCACCGACTGAAAGGTTTCCTCAAAACAACCGAGGGCCGACTCACCCGGCGCGTCCTCTTCGGCTTTAAAAGGCGCAACGGGGAAAGACATGGCGTCCGGACACTCGTAGGCGGCTGGGAACGCGTGGGAAGGTCCAGCTGACCCCTCCGAAACACCCTGCGCTGCGACAGGCGGCTCGCGAGCAAGGCAGACGCTGTCCCTATTGGGTTTAGCACAAAGCGGCAGGTTTCTTAGCCACTGAACGTGACTGCTGGACTGGCTTGCGGACGGCTTCTGCCCTCTGAAGACGGGAAAACAAGGCAGGGCGCTGTTGGGACAACACTGCGGCCCCGCGGGCTCCGAGGGCCACTGGGCTTCCGAAATAAAAGACCTACTGGTCAGATTGGTAACTACGTCCTCGCCCGGCGCAATCGCAGACACGTCGCCGGGCTTTATTACGGCACAGACGGTGGAAGAAGCGGCGCTCCTTTGGCAAGAGAGGCGATCCTTCGGTATATCGTCTCCTGTGGGCTCCGAAAGTCCACTGCTGCCAGACGCGAGGCAAGAGGCCCGGCTTGCTGGGGAGGAATCTGCCGAGGCAGGACCCGCAGGCTCCGCGGGGGGCAAGGCGGCCAAGGGAAGCTTCCGATTTGCCAAGCCGCTCACAGCGCACCTCAGCGGGTCTCTTTCGGGCGGGAAAGAGCCCGACTCTGAGCGCGCGGTCAGTCTGTCCGCCGATTTCCCGCCGCCTTGGCTATACGGACTGGGAAGAAGCGGGGATTCCTCCCTGGCACCTTCCTTCGCAGCCTCCTTCAAGCTGCACAAGCCGTGCTGCAGTTCATAATGCCGGCGCAGCGAACGCTGGTCGCAGTAACTCTTATCGCAGTCTCGTTCCGGGCACGCAAAAGGTTTTATTCTCTGATGCGTCAACATGTGCCCGCTCCTGCGGTGAGCAAGAGAAGAAAACATTGCGGATTAGCGTTCCCAGCTGAAAAAGGAAGTCATTTCGCACCTAAGCTACCGCAGCTCTTGCACTCCTGGCATTTAGGACAGCTCTATGCAAGGCAGAGACGCTGCGCAGCACATAAACCAAAGCAGAATTTGGCCTCTATTCAGAAGAGGTTCACTAAAGCGCCCCCCAACTGCTTTTCCCACCGGGACGCAGAACGATCCCGCTTGCTCCATCCCCATCGCCGGCGTCTCTCCCGAAACGCAACTCAGAAGGGATCCGAAATCCCCCCCCCCAAAATCCCGTGGGATCTCTCCAGCCTATCGGCCCCCCGCGTTCAGCGAGGCCGAAGCGAACCAGAACACAACGCAGAAGGGATCTCAACCCACGTTCTGCCCGGGAGCGCGCACGGCCGTGCCTGTCAGCGCAAGCTGAAGGCTGGTTACGATTCTCTCTTGGTTTAGAGTAGAAATGGGTGGAGAGAGCGAAAAAATTAGGCAGGCGCGTTACCTAAACCAACGGGGAACCGACTGTGAAGTTGCAGACTCCCTTCATAAAGGCACATTTGAGGACAGAATAGGTTTGTTAGCAACCGCCCCGGTCTGACACAAAGCAAAACGGTGTTTTACTTAGCCCCGGACTACCACCGCCAAAAACCGGACCTACAATAATCCGGTGGAGTTTCAAGAGCTTTTCAGAATGAGTAACAAAAGCTTTATGGCACCGGGATGTGTAGGATTCCAGGCAGCGCTTGCATCGCTAAGCGATCTTTTGCAACAGTTCCTAAAACAGCGGCTGCCAAAAATCAGAAGTTGACTCTCCGGTGCAAACACCTTCCACGCGATTTCCCCCACGCCAGCCATCAGACAGGAAAAAAAAAAACAAACGACTGGCTGCTATCGCAGGGCTCAGCATTACAGATTGTTCTGCAGCTGGGCAGAAATACACACTTTTGAGGCTTTTCCTGCACCGGCCCGCTCTGGAAAATTTAAAGGTAATTTGCAGCTGCAAGGGGAGTCATTTTGTACCCTAACTTTACAGCGTTCGCTAGCCTGAAAACACGACAAAGCGCCCTAACTTGTGAAATTGGAAAATAAAGTACTGCAGCAGCCCATCTTATTTACATTTGGGAAAGAAGGCCGCCGCGGCCCTGCGCGTTTTTAGCGGCGAATGCCTACGTACAGGTGGTCGGGCCGTTTAAAGGCCTTGCTGCAGATGGTACAGACGTGTTCCCGTTTCTGGCTGTGAGTCAGGCAGTGTTTGCTGAGAGCGCTGGCGCTGCCGAACACCTTCCCGCAGCGGCTGCAGCCCGGCAGCGAGGTCCGAGGAGAGCAGAGGGGAGGCTTTCCTCTCCCCGCAGATCTGCCGCCGCCTCCTCCAGCCTCCTCCAGTCCCGTCAGCGCGGGAAGCCCCGGCTCTGAAGGGAGGGAGAAAGCGATACCCTCAGGTTACTCTTGCGATGACACACTTCTCACTTTAACGGTCATAAAAACGTCTGGTTTTATAACGCTTCCGTTGGAGGGCTCGGGCCTGTGACGACTGAAAAATCTGCACAAAAATGAGGACAGAAGTCCCACAAACCGGCTCCGCCTCTGACGGCTCGCAGCTCTGGAGCTGCTGTATTTCTGGGGTCTCCACCAACACCTCAACCCAGGCCCCACCCTCACACACGTCCCATCCTTCCCCATTTCGGAGCTGGTTGTAACGAATTCGACCATTTTCCCCTCTTTCTCGGGAAAAGAGGGAGGAAACGAGTCAACTCCCACCCGCTTTGTTCAAGGTGTTTTATCTGCAGCAATTTGACCAGGTGATAACCCAGGCGCTTCCCGCCGGATTGGACTTTGGGAGACAATCCAAGGTTCCCCACCCACGAATACGGAATGAGCCATTACGAGCTGTAATTAATTGGCGAATCAGCAGCAACGCAGGCCCCAATTGCCAGGAGAAAGTCTCATTTTCTTACTCGAGCGCTGCTAGTCACCAATTTTCATTTGTTTTGTTTTCAAGCCACCCAAACATTAGCAATTATGTTATCCAACGGTTTACTAAAGGCGCTCTCCTTGCAACGGCAGACCTAGAAAAAGCCCATTCTGCTTAATCCATTTCACAGAGAATTTGAAATGGAGAAAGAATTAAACAGAATGTCTCTTCCCTGCTCCAGGGAACGCCAGTAATATAGATGTTTGCAACATATTTAGCAAATCTATCATTTTAATGCCGTCACGTTTTCCATTTCCAGCTGGAGAGCAGGTTGAAAGGACTCTTGAAAAGAAAAAGAAAAATGCCTGTCTAGGGTATAATTTTAAGAAAATAGGACAGAAGTGAAACTCCTGTCAAAGAGCGGTGTTATAATTATTACCATCTTCTGCAGCCTTACCAATTTGAACGTCATTTTACAGGTAAAAGGCAGCAAGAAGCATTTCTGAAGTGCTTACTGATTAAAAAAACCCCTCGTATCCACCTCTTTACCCCAAAAATATTTCCACGTAATGGACTCCGCCACCTATATAAAGCTACTAAACAACTCCGGCTGCGTTGAACCGTAAGACCCCCTTCAAAATAACCGAGAACGCGGAGTCCAGCGCGCTCACCGTGCTGCCAGGGCCGCGAGTCAGGCTCATCGAGGAGCGGAACAGCGTCGCGGTCCTTCGCCGGGTACAGCGAGAGCGCGTTTAAATCGGCCTCCAGAGCATCGCTGCCCGCCTCCGCAGCTGGAAGGCCAGGCCCCGCGTCCAAGCCGCTCAGCCCCGCGTACATCACGTCTTTCACGTTTAGGCAGAAATCGTGGTTGAGAGCCTCGGTACAGGCCAGCCCCTGGCTTTCGGAGAATCCAGGGAGATGCATCTCCAAATTAACGGCGTTCTCGTCGCCGAAGGGGTACCGGTCCATGCCTGCCGCCGACCTTACGGCCAGTTAAACGTGGGCTCGTTTCCACCTAGAGCAAAACTCGGGGGCGTGAGGACAACAAACCTCCTAACAAAACATAAAAAGGCCAAGTTAAATAAAATGGAAAAGAAGAAGAGGGCTGCCAAGACCCTGCGGGCCAGGAGGGCTGGGGAGCGGAGTGCTGGGGGTCAGGGGGCTTTCCCCGAGGGAAACGCTGCTCCCGGCCTCGCCGGAGGCTGTGGGGCCACCCTAGGGCTGGGTTTGGGGGAGCGAGGGGGCTTTCCCTGAGGGAAATGCTGCTCCCGGCCTCACAGGGGGCTGTAAGACCACCCTAAGGCTGGGTTTGGGGGGAATGAGGGGGTTTTCCCTGAGGGAAACGCTGCTCCTGGGCTTGCAGGAGGCTGTGGGGCCACCCTAGGGCTGGGTTTGGGGGAGGCAGGGGGCTTTCCCTAAGGGAAACACTGCTCCCGGCCTCGCAGGGGGCTGCGGGGCCACCTTACGGCTGGGTTTGGGGGAGGCAGGGGGCTTTCCCTAAGGGAAACACTGCTCCCAGCCTTGCAGGAGGCTGCAGAGCCACTCCAGAGCTGGGTTTGGGGGAGTGAGAAGGGCTTTCCTTGAGGAAAATGCCGCTCCCGGCCTCACAGGGGGCTACAGGACCACCCTAGGGCTGGGTTTGGGGGAGCGAGGGGGCTTTCCCTGAGGGAAACGCTGCTCCCGGCCTTGCAGGAGGCTACAGAGCTACTCCAGAGCTGGGGCTGGAGGAGGGAGGGGGCTTTCCCTGAGGGAAATGCTGCTCTCGGCCTTGCAGGAGGTTGCAAAGGACCAGAACTTGGGCGGGTGGGGGAGGGGGGGGTGGGCTCTCCCTGAGAAGAGTGTGTGGGGAGAAGGGAGACAGGGGCTGGCCCCG